GGAATCGAGGCCTGAAGTTCGGGCGAGTGGTATCGTTAACGAAGCGTTTCGCAGGTCTCTCGCACGCTCGGTGGTCCTCACGTCACGACAGGCGGCATCACGGACAAGTCAATTGCAGTTGCAGCAGCGCGACAATGGACAGGGTCAGCAACATGCCTGGCAGTCATCATGCAGATTTCTCGTGACATGCATACAATTAAAATCTCACAGCTACATTTTTTCAGCTTCGACTTAGGTCGCCGACGGGCATCAACAGCGCGCGAGCGTTAATAAGGCAAACCTTGCCGCCCTCAACCTTGGTCTCGAAGCGAATCTCTTCGCATCCATGCTGGATGTCATCAGTCCTCCAGACGTTCGTCGACAGCTTGTCGCCGGGCATGACGGGGCTTGCGAAGCGGGCCTGGTACTCCTTGATGTTCGCGGGGTCGCTGCCGCCGAGTGCCTTGAGCAGGTCGTGCGCCGTCGCGTTCCACGAGTACAGGCCGTGCATGATGGCGCCGCCAAAGCCCATCTTCTTGCCGGGCTCGGGCGTCGCATGCAGCGGGTTGTAGTCACCATTCAGGCGGTACAGAAGCGCCGACTGGGCATTGGTCTGGTGCGTCAGCACGGCGTCGGGCGCCTTGCCCTTGGGCGGCGGGAAGTTCTCCGTCGCGGGGCCCTTGGGGCCGCCCCAGTTGCCCTGGCCGATGTAGAAGCCCGAGCCGACGACGCGCGAGTAGACCTCGTTCGAGTTGACGTCGACAATGTCTGTCTGCGTCTCAATGACAGTGCCAGGACGGCCCTTGTCGTAGACGCCGAGGACCTTGGAGCGGACCTCGAACTTGCGGCCGACCGAGGATGTGGGAAGGGGTTTGAAGAACTCAATCTTGCGCTGGCCGTCAACGACGCGACGGGCATCGAATTCGGGAACTCCAGGAATAGCGATGGCCTTTTGCGCAGCGTAGAAGTCGATCGTTTCCTGCGAATTGCCCTTGAAGGCTAAGGGGTCTTGTTAGATTGCCGTCTGGATGTTTCGGAGGTGTCGGAGCTTACGGAGGATCAGGGAGTAGGTAGGGAAGACGGCGAACTTGGGGTGAAGCTCCTACGAGGTGTGTTAGCTGCCGGCACGAAAGGGACAGTAAGGCTAGCTGTTGATGGCACACGTACGTAAAGGAAGTGAAGCTCATCGACTGTGGCGCCAATGGTGTTGGCAAAGAGCAGCACATCGCGCTGCAGCCATGAGATCTCCTGGGGAGGATACTCGAATCCGACGCCGGGGCCGCTCATTGTGGACTGGTCTTCGGAGAGGTGGTGTGGTGGTGATTGGGAAAGGGAGGTATGTTCACACGCTCCGACAAACAGATAGACGTGGCGGTTGTGATAATATGTAGATGGCTGACGACAAGCCGAGGCAGACTTGAGAAAGAGGGGTGTATCACGTCTTTATTGTAGCTCCGAGTCGCGGTTCGGCATCCGCGTTGTCAGGCAAGACACCTGGGGGGGAGCTCCCGCCAAACAGTGCCGAGGTTCCAGGTGCTGGTAACCACTTCGTGGCCGGCCCCGCTTGCTGTTCTGTCCTAGCGTCTCGCTGCTTTTCTTCGGTTAGAACGCAATCGTTTTCGAGGGAAGGGGACACAAATCAGTGTTGAAACTTGACGATGCGATGTCGACGAAGTATAAGACTTATCTCAACGCAACTCGGAGAAACATGGCTGATGCCTTCACTGAAATACATTTCATCTCAAGATCTCAGCGCAAAATGGGCCACATGGACACGCAATACCAGAGTAGGATCACCTGCTGATGAGGACTACAATTAAAAGCGGCGACATCCTCCACCATCTTATCAGATGCGGCTGCAGTGAACGGGAGACAAGTGCGGGGGGACATTAGTCTCCTTTGCTTAGTCAGGTGGGCAACTCCATCTGCTCATCATATTCATTGTGGTGAAGATGGCGCCTCTACATCACCGTCAAGGTCGAGATGCTTCGTCAAGCCTTCTGTCAGCATCGGTCATCATGCTGCCCTTCTGTGTCTTGACGAGATTTCTCATTCAAATGTACAGATATCATGACGTTTCCTCAATTGTTGTTGTTATGCTCAGTCTTGAAAGAGCAGAGAGATGATCGTGGGATAGTTTGCCAAAGAAGCATGTCAAATAATTGCAGAGCAGAATTATCAAATCCATCCGTTCACGAATACTTTCTTGATCTGTAGGTACATACACTTAGGTAGATGGCCGGGGCAGGATGAGCTGGACAGCTCACTGGCCGAAATCTGGCACCAGTAGCTGTCTGACATCGGATATGTAGGAAATGGCGAGGCAGGAGCATGGTTGCCGGGGCGTTGAACTGTCACTTACTTGTCCGATTTTTAACGACACCATCCTATGGTAGCCTTTTATTGTTTTTCAACTTGCTTGTTGAGCAACAAGGCTCAAAGTTCTTCCAACCACGCCCTGCATCACCTCCAGTTCCCACAACAAACGCAACTCCCATACCCGCCTTCACTCTTCTCATCTTCCACCTCGCATCCCCTCCTCTGCAAATTTCCGCCAGAGTACTACCATCACTCTACGCGTGCTACCACTACCAGTCCCAAGTCTGTAAAAGCTGCTGCCTACCCTTTTAATTCCTCGACCGGCTGATTTCCTTGCAAGCTGGCGACTTCACGAGCTTGTGCATCATCGGCCTGAAAATCCTCCCTCGCATTGCACGAACTCTCAAAGACCCAAAGTAGCTAAGACCCAACCATGTCTCAGGTGACATCGTCTCAGGGCGTCAAACGCATGGCCCCTGATGCCAAGATGGCTGGCGATGTTAGCATTGGCCTGAACGACGACAAGACTCCAGCCAACGCCAAAAAGCTCAGGAAGGAGCGTCTGGCTCTCGCATATGATACTGAAACTCTCATCAACCGTCGCGACGACATGGATCATCAGATCTCCCGGGCAGCTCAGGATAAGAGCCAGAACGGCGGCGAGCCCCAGGTTGAACTCGTCCTTGCGGCCTCCAACCTCCAGGACGCGGAGCGTCACCACGTGCAAAGACTCAACAACCGCATCACAGAAGCCGAGAAGCTATGGCTTGCTGAGCCCATTGAAACACTTCACTACAACATGGTCTCTCTTTTCGAGCTTCGAGCGCGTTTCAAAGATCACCTTGGCCCTCGCATGGTTTCCACACTTGAGGATGATAACACGTCCTCGTCAGACCCGTGCTCCGATGACGAGGGAAGTATCAACAACGACACCGCTCTGAGCAAGGCGAATTCGTCGGTCAAGCGCCGTGCCCAAGACGAGTCGAACCGCAAGCACGTTGGTGACGATGAACCGCCTTCAAAGAAGTTCAAGCAAGGCGAAAACAAAACTGTCGAGAGCCCTGTTCCTATTCCTGTTCCTATCCAGAAGGCGCAGGGGAATCGTTTGTCCGAGTCCCGCCGCGGTCAAGCAATCCACAATACTGACTTCCATGAATATGTCAGTGGTGGCAAGACTAAACACAGCAAGGACACAGCGCATCGCTTGAGCGACGTTGAGGAAGACTTCTCACGCAGACAACTTCAGAGCTCGGAGAAGCACGCCGAATCCACTGCCGAGAAGAAGGCCAGGAAGAAGCGGGAGAAGACGATGAAGAAGAAGGAACGCAAGCGCACCAAGAATGCCACCTCGCAGCACAAGAGAGGTGAAAGTCGCCGTCGGTCTACTGAGAAGAAGGCTGATGATAACTCGGAGGACAAGCCTGCCCCTGAGGTGCGCCGGGTCACTGCTGTCCCCATTCCAGCTCATTACCCCCGACCTGACACTCCTCTCAAGTCCATCTCTTCCGTCCCGCTTCCAGGCCACTATAAACAGACATCTGCCCAAGCAACGCCTATGAGTGTTCGCCACGGAACCAAGATCCAGGCTCCTGTCGACCCTGGTGCTGTAAAGCATCACGAAGGCGGCCCTCGCCGCCCTTACCTCCCGATTTTTCACTCGGCAGACTACGCCACTGACGGCCGTGATGCCATACCCAAAACTGCAACCCCCGACCCGAAAGCCAGCACAAAGACCTGGCGTCTAGAGAGCAGCGAACATCGCCGCTCCCATGGCGGATCCGACATCACCATGCGTATCGGACGTATCGGCTCCACCGACGATACCATGCGCCACCCTGACCCGGCTGACGAATCTCCCGTTGAGGTTGTCCGCAAGAACAAAGATGGCCGGCCTAAAGGCAGCAAGACCCAGACCGCCACGACCAAAAGCCCCATCGCTCCATCCAACGCAAAGCCCGCTACGACTATTGCCACCAGCCCCATGGCTACGCTGCCTTCGACGGGCAGCCAGCCCTCAGAGCTCGTTCGCGTGCTGGCACCCTCCAACCTCGTCCCCATCGCTTTCTACAGCCCAGCTTCGATTCACGAGCAACAAGCCAGAGAGGCGAGATTCAAGGCCCAGTTGGAGAAGGATGCAGAGGTCTTCGTTCGGGAGAGAATTGAGTGGCGGCGCGCTATGAACCTTGACTAGGTATGCTCTGGCCAAGCCAGCGTGAGAACCTTGCTACAGAACATTCCACGAAACGCATGCGCAATGCTTCACCCCCCCGCGAACTCAGTTGCATTGATTCATGTCATTTCTTTCTGGCCTGGACGTTGGTCAAGTGGGCTCACTGCAAAGGAACCGTGATCCTCTGGTGTTTGACACTCAAGTTACGATACACTATTTGTTTTCTCGGCTGAATGGGGAGGCAAGGCCGGCTCTGTCTGCTTGTTAGGCTATGTAAAATAGAATAAGAGTTGCCTGGAAAGTTCACAGCATAACCACAATTGTAGGGCACGCGTGCTTCTGGCTACTTTTCCGGCCTTAGATGTCTCAAACTGTGCGGCAAGCCCTAGAGAGAAGACAGAATAACAAGGCAATGACAAGACGTGGCTTAGCCAAATGTGCATACTCCATAGGGCCCTCTGGGATCAGCGAAGGATTCAACATGCCCGTTGTCTCTCTACCATTATATACAAAGAGGATTGGTCCGCAGATCGTAAACTGACAATGTCTACGCTACTAAGCGGTCAGACCCAAGATCTACTGCTAAAAGAAGTGTCATGAAGTTAAGTATTCAGTAACGTTTACTCTCACAAAAAAAATTCATGGTCAGAGGCTGTGCTGGAATCCACCCAGGAAGGGACGGGCCAAATCGGTGTAGAACACCCAGGCACCATAAATCTGTTCATCACTGGTGGCAGTTCAGACCGTGCAGGAAGCCGTTTGCGTGTACCAAAACCAGTTCCAAGAGGGCGTGCCGATCCGATATACTGCACTTCCAGGGAGAGAACCCCCCCCCGCATAACGTTGGGGAATGGTGGAAAGGCAGATCCCCAACACCGGGCCAATTGACCTTTTCGCTTTTGCAGGTCTGGTAGGTTCGCACGTATCCTGGTGACGAGGTTCCTTGTGTTGTTCGTCATGGCGCAGTCGCGATCGACCACCATTGTGCCACTGCCCCCGAGGGCCTCTGTGTTTATGAGCGAATAATCCCGTGATCGTCTGCCTGAACTCCTGAAGCTTGCAGCCGATCCAGCAGAGGAGTTCTGGCACGAGATGTTGGGCGACAGCCCATCACTGGTTCAGTCCATGGCTCCGAGGCAGCGTCAGGCCTCAGTGCTGTTACACGAAACGGCGGGGACGCTCCCATGTTGTGGGCAACCGGGCCAGCCACCATTGTACCTGACCCTCTATGACCGAAGGCATGCCGATCTCAACGGTGCAGATCTTGGGGGGAAGCGACTCTCAAGACAGGCCCGGCGATTTAGCACTGAATTGACAACTAGTTGATCAGCCGGACGGACGGAAATGGGAGGTCTAGGTAAAGCCGATCGAATCGCGAGACCATGAGCGCAGCAGATGGTCAGTACTGACGGGAGAAACGCAGAAATGCTGTCAGGAGATTTTGCCCGCCTCGTCTGTGGCATGCTCTCCGCCGCCTGTCAGCTGTACCCACAACCCGCAGTTGAGAAGGGAATTGAGTTTCCAATGGGATAGTCTGGAGTCGTGCATGTTGACTCGCGAACAACGTTCTGGAGCGATCACGTTACTCGAGTCGGCGACGAAAGTGGAAAGGTGAGGAGCTGGCTTGCCCAAGCACTGAGGGGAACAAGCTTAGCGCTGCCGCAGTCTCATAGCGGCTGAGCCTTAGACGTCGGCAGGCGCAGTAGTCGACACCATGTCACAGGGGGCTGTGGTACTGCCGAGTCTCGTTTTCATGGTTCAGGCTCTTGATGAGGAAGCCAACAGATCAACGGTGGATAAAGTACCCCCCTCCCCCCCCCCAAGCACGTCCCGTGCGAGGTTGTGACTGCGTGTCGGTCAGTGTGGTGTCGACCCTCGAGCCAAGCGGCACAGGTTGCTGGGCAGAAAGTGAAGCGAAGCTGCAGGCATTCAGCCAGACCGGCTTTCCGCAGGTACCATGAGGTATGGCGGTCAAGAAGGAGGATGGCAGCGTCCAATTCCCTCGGGGCACGGGGACAAGCGAGCGAGGTTGGATCTTGCGTCGCGCGTCTCGGCCTAGGATGCGTCGATTTAGTGCTCCAAACAGAGGTGCAATGACTAAAGCCTTTGCTCTCGTCATAGCTTCCCCGATTGGCCAGACGCAACTGGGATGCATTCATGAGGACATCATGGGGTCGCAAGGACCAACACCCTCGACAGCCACGTCTGTAGCTGGCAGACAACCTTGCAAGATTCACTTACCTGACAGTGGCGTGCCATTGCCAATGCACGAGCTGCATGCGATGGCGTTGCCGTAGAGAAACACATGGTAGGCAGAGGTGCAGAGCGGTGGCCTAGAACACGGCTCGTGAGATGGTGGTGTGAGGACGTGCTGGGTGACGGGCCATGGTAGGTCGAATGCGCCGATGATTACAGGGTGCTTGTTGCAACAGCGGGCGGAGCATGTTTTTTCGATGGGCTGACAGATTCTGGGTTTTGGTGATAGCAACGGCGCCTCTCGCGTTCCACCATAGTCAACGGCCGTTGCGGTCGTGTAATTGTCACGGAACAGGGGGGTTACAGGATGCCTATGTTTTTAGCTGAGACCCCAGACCAGAGCTTTTCCAGCGCGCGATGGCATGATCAGGACATTGCAGCGTTAGTCTCGTTGCAATCTGCTATCGATACAAGTGTGTGGGCGATCTTCAAGGACCGAGAAATGCAACTCGAGAGTCGTAGCCTTTGACTCCTTGCATTGCGTCGGCCAGAGAGCCACCAGGACGCATCCCTATGATGGCGGAGCATGAGCATTGCTGTTTGTGATCTTTTGTCATCGGCGGCGCTCTTCTCTTCTATTTGTCAAGGTTTGTCGTGAAAACGGAGTTGTGGCACAGCCAGCGACAAAAGATAAACTTGGAAGACTGTCATCTTGACGAAACACAACTGTAGTCCTTCGACCCTGTGGTATCAGTGGTGGAACCCGGGATAGGGAGGTAGGTCGCATTCACATGAAGTCAGGAGTGGCTGTGATGCCATGAATGGCTGGCTTTCTTGAGCGCACCTCACATCTCGCACTTCACTCACCTACCTTCCCCGACATGACCTGGCCTGTGCTCGGCGGCTATTACTACATTGGTTGGCGATCGAGCCCCCCCCCCCCAAATGATGACTTGGCGACCCGATATCGCTGAGGCGGGTTGCGTTTCCCTGATCCGAACAAGCCATATCCTTGACAATGGGACGGCGCACCTATTGTAGGTGCAAATGCGAGACGGACGTGCTGGATGGCTGCCGATGGATGTTGCAGGTGAGCAAGTATGACAGGCGGCGACTGTGTGATGACCATGGCGGATGAATCAAACTATGTGGCTCCGTACATTTGTGTCCGGGTTTGCCGCGTCATGATGGAAGTGAACCGAAGCAAAGAGAGGCATGCGTCACGAGCACATCGAAACCAGATGACAGTGTACAGGAACCCGCATCCGACAATTGATGGGTATTGGGGTCTGATGGAAGATGCCGCGGTGCCGTGATGGTGATGTGCGGGGGAGAGGTTGTAAAGAGGGTGCTTGGGTACCTACTTAGATCAGGTACTCGAGCGGGAACAAACATGCACACTCACACACAGACACATGCACAAGAACCTACGACACCAGTACGCTTGCAGAACGTGCTACAAACTCTCAACGCGTGCATGTACATCGGCTTGGTGCTCATGGGCAGAGCGGCGCTGTCGAATGAGATGTCCCCCCCTACGACAAGCGGGAACAAGTGGGAGAGTAAAAATGGCAAGGCAAGCTACATGTACGATAGGGTGTCGAGGTCTACGCTCGGGTTCGTCGACACGGCGAAGGGGTTGAGAAATCACTACTACCTGACGTAAACTTTGGGGCTAGAGGGCTTCGGCATGCAGCAGAAGGATGCCGCCTGGCCAGGATTGCGTTGGCAGCGACGGCTCTGCCGGCGCAGCTAGTAGTCAGCGAGACGATGGAGGGTCCTTTTCGACCTTTTGGGGGTGTTTTTCTGGGGGGTGGTCTCGATAATCTGAGGATGCGTCCAATGTCTACAGTGACGGCAGCATGAGAAAGGCGAGAGGCCACGGATGGGGGTGGTGTACGATGGCGGGGCGAAGGAATCGATGCTTTGGTGGTCGATCTGTCCCGAGGCGTCTCTGACAGACCGATGGCAACTCGCAGAGTACTATCGGTCTTGCAGATTCTCCCAAGGGGCTCTTGGGGGTGGGAGGCTTTGCCATGCGATGGTGAACTTTCTGACCAGAATTTTGTGAGGGTCGGATGCTGCCCAGAGTTTCGATTGGCATGGTCTTCTGGAGTTGGGTGGGTGTGTGTGTGTGGCTGGCGACGGGACAGGCGAAGAGAGGGGATAAGCTGCCATCCAAGACATATCCACATGAAGTTCACGACACAGTGATCTGGGTTGGGGGTGACGTGGAGGGAGAAACAGAGAGACACACGATATCTTGCGAGCACGAACCTGCCTGGCGTCCAAGTCAATATGGTGCCTTTTCGCGGAAGGGACACGAGGGACGGAGATTGTTTGCCCTGCACCCTGGGCGTTTTCCTTCCTTTTGTCTGTTTCCTTCACGGACCTTCTTTGAGGTGCTTGACGCAGACTAGATCCCACATGCGACTTGCCTGTCAGCAGAAGGGAAAGCAAAGCGAAACAAAGCAAAATCAGTGGCTCAGGTCCTTTGCATCCCAGACCCGTTTCTACCGTTTCTACGGTTTCACACAGACTGCGCAGTGCTCTTGAGCTTTTGCCTCTTGTACATGTATGCAAACATTCGACGATGGGTAGATAATAAACAACACAACCTCCGTGCGAGGAGAAAATGGGTCGACTGGGGGGACTGGCACAGTCTGCCCATCTCTATCCCCTTGCATGGTAGCGATCCAGGCAAAGGCGCAGCGACTAAGCTGCATCTGGTATGGGTACGGAGGATTGCATAAGAGATGGGCGTGTCATGCATGTACCGCTACCAGGTGTCCCAGCAGCCTCCGTCTTGTCATTGGGTGGGAAATATGCTCCTTCCCCGCTCATACCGCGGCTGCTCACACTGTAGACAGCGCCAACAGGCGGCTTCCCACCACAGGCACTGTGATGGGGGGTGACTGAATGAGGTGGGCACCTAACGTAAGGCAAAACGAGCACCAGTGAGTGCCAGCGCTACCGTTTCGTCCCGGCCTCCAGCCAAGGATGGTGGTGGTGGTGGTGCTAGATGCTAGCTGCTGGGTGCTGGTTGTTGATGATAGACCCGAATTGCCTACCTCACAATACGGGTGCAAGCGCAAGTGAACCCACCTACCCCATGCTTCAGTGGTGTTCTGCCCACCACCTGTTGTGTGCCTTCCGCCCCGTCCAATCCAACTTGCCTGGATTCAAGAGGCAGTCAACAACCCTGACGTGAACTTTCTCTTCGCCCTCTTTCCAGGCCTGAGAAAGCATCCACACCCCTTCAGTCGTCCCTTCAGAGTCTGTGCCTTGCCGCCTCTATTTCGTCCGCCTCTGCCAAGTCAATCAATCGGCTAGACAGGAATTGAGTCAACGGCACGGCTACTCCTCGTCACGCATTGCACGGTTCTTCTCTTCTTCACTTCGGATCCGCACACCTTGTCCCGCCCTCCGAAGGACGTCGATTCTTTCCTTTTTCTTTTCTTTTTGCCGACTGTTGCTGCGAGCCCACCGGTCAGCGACTCTCTTCTGTCTCGGATCCCTGCTGTCGTGCGGTTACTGAGGCAGAAACAACTTTCTCCTTGTCCACCTGCAGCGCGCCAACGACGGCTGATCTCCGACCTGCCTACTCCCGATCACGCACAACCCATCGCCCGAGCCCCGAGCCCGCGCCTCGTCGTCCACGGTGAGGTCCAAGAATCTCGCCCGTTCGAGCCAGACCACTTCCCTCCGTTCATCGATATGTCGGGGGGTCTTGCCAACCTGTAGTTCTGGCCGCCTGCCAGACTTCTGGCTACAACATCCCCGTCGGAACGGGTGAACCACTGGACGACTCCAGAGCTCGCCTCTGACGCGTCCCGACTGTATACCATCGAACACGCTATCAAGTCGAAGCTGCTTTTGTGACTTCGCCTTGAAGTGCCGAGAAGGTACGACCCGGCCAATGGTATCGACGACCCTGGAAAATAAACCTGGCCACCCTCAACAATGGACAGCAAAGATGCCAGCAACATGTTGGCCCCGCCAGCTGTGACCTCTCTCCGAGCACAGTCGGCTGGGGTCATGGAGCGGACGTTTTCCGAAGACATTAGAGAGGAACGAGAGGAGCTTCGGGAGGCTGCCGAGCAGACTCTCAATGTCATCATGGACCTCAACCTCGACGGCACCATACGATGGGTCAGTCCCTCGTGGTCTGAGGTCATCGGGACCACGGCAACCTCTGTTCCGGGCACAAGCATCAGCGACCTGATTCTTGGTGACAACAAGAGTGTTTTCTCAGACGTTGCTGAGGCCATGAGATCCGACGACTCACGCAGCCAAAGGGTACGCTTCGCCGTTCATGCAGGCCCCCTTTCGCGACTGTTGTCGCTCGATGACCTCCAAGATCCTCAAGGCTCGCCTGAAGAGCCCCCCGCACACGCCATTGAGCTGGAGGCCCAAGGCATTATGGTGTACGACGTGGTGTCGGGAGGAGAGAGCCATGTGAGACCATGACCCCTTGCATTCGTGGCAACGCTTTTACTGATGCACCGCTTCCGTCTAGACTATGTGGATGATTCGACCCTGGATCGCGCCCCGCGAAATCCAAATTGACCTACCTGCCGTCATTGTCGACAGCTTGGGATCCGGGGCTGAGGTCCTCGCCAGCTACCTGACCCAGCTCGCCGAGTCTGGCGTAGAAGATCCCGAGAACCACCCGCCACCACTGCCAGTCTTGTGTCGCATATGCGAACGTCAAATCTCGCCCTGGTGGTTCGAGAAGCACACCGACCTGTGTTTGCAGGAGCACAGGGCCGAGATGGACGTACAAATGGCTCAGGAGAACCTCACAGAACATCGACATGCCATCGTCAAGGTCCTCGACGCATTGGAGGCTAGGAAGAGTCGCTCCTTGACAGGTGAACAACCGTCGCTTCCCCTCGCCGAGTACAAGGGCCTAGCCATCGGACCACCTCCTTCGAGCCAGTCGTCGCCGGGCACATCGGTGTCTCAGTCAAGAGACCGGTCTGGCACGGGCGGCTTTGGTCATGCCAGGGCTCGCTCGTTTGCCATCCGCCGTCCACAGGCCAGAATTGTGGAACTCTTGGTGGACCTTTGTGACACTGCCATAGAAGTAAGCACGCCAGCCATCAAGGAGTCATCCTCGCATGCACCTGGGGAGCTCCGAACGCAATCACCGCAATCCGAATCGCGCATCTCCCAGGTCATGCACTGGCAGTCGCCGAGCACAAACACACTGGAACAGGAGACAGGGTTGGCTCTGCTTTGCGCCGACACGGAAAAGGCTGCCAAGGCAAAAGTTGAAGCTGTGTTTCGGCACCGGAAAATCATCGAGTATGCTGAACGCATCAGGGTCGAATTCGCCGTCATTGTGCAGGATTGCATTGATGAGGCCATGCGGAAGGCAGCTCGTATCGCCTCTGGACGTCTGAGCGATTCCACGGAGGACGAAGCGGAGGAAGAAGACCAGGAGATCACACCTGCCTTCGAAGAGCCATCATTCTTCCAGCAGGACCCCACAGACAACACGTCTGCGCTGGCCGCTGCGCTTCAACAGGTATCGCTCGGCGAGAATGCCGACTACACTCGGCCAGTGTCATTTGTGGGTTCTACAAGATCGAGCAGCCCCAAGGAGTGTCCTACACCCAAATCCAACTTTGGCAGTCTAGCCAACAAGGCTACAGCTCGTGACTCGAGACGCGGCTCTATCATGTTTGAGAGCGATACTGGCGATAGTGACGGCAGCATCCGATCTTCGTCGCTGGCATCGCGGCAAGCACCGCGGACAGACTCGCCCATATCCGAATTCGGCGACCTTCGCCGTGCAGCAAGCTCGCGTCAGCATCATCGTCGAAGCCTCATCCTTCCAGGAACCTCCTCACCTCGACGACAGGAGTCTCCCTCGCGCGCAACGCAGCCGTCATCGCCACTCCGTATCAACAAACCTCGGAACTTCGTGTTTGGACATGATGGCATTGCTTCTCCCGAGGCATCCCCCATGATGCCGGGCAGCGAATTCTCCTCCCCGGCCGTGGCCGCAATTCACCACCATCGACGTCAGTCATCTGCCGCCATGTCTGAATTTGCCATGAAGCCTCCTCCATCACCTCGCTTGGGAGCTCACAACCCCCCTCCCCAAGCCCGACCAGCGCCGCCCTCCATCAAGGATTTCGAGATCATCAAGCCCATCAGCAAAGGCGCGTTTGGAAGCGTGTATCTATCAAAGAAGAAGTCGACTGGCGAATACTTTGCCATTAAGGTGCTCAAAAAAGCAGACATGGTTGCCAAGAATCAAGTCGGAAATGTCAAGGCCGAGCGCGCAATTCTCATGTGGCAAGGGCAGAGCGAATTCGTTGCCAAGCTCTACTGGACATTTTCAAGCAAAGACTATCTCTACCTGGTGATGGAATATCTCAACGGCGGAGACTGTGCCTCTTTGATCAAGGTTCTTGGAGGTTTGCCTGAGGACTGGGCCAAGAAATACTTGGGCGAGGTCATACTTGGCGTAGAGCATCTCCACAGTCGAGACATCATTCATCGCGATTTGAAGCCTGACAACCTACTCATTGACCAGAAAGGCCACCTCAAGCTGACTGATTTTGGCCTTTCGCGTATGGGTCTCGTAGGCAGGCAGAAGCGAGCCCTCAACAACGAAAACAGCGACCCCACCCCGGACCTCTTGAAGCAGGGCCCATTTGCTCGCTCGGCTTCCATGGCCTCCTCTCGCTCGACTTCACTGGACCTTCACGGGAACTCGCCGTCGCCTAACCTGACCCCCCAGTCCACACCTGACGTGGGAGCCAGTCTCGGCCTCGGCCAACCATCGTATTTCAGCCTCGGCAACCCACAG